TCCTAAACTTTTACCACTTGAAGGTCGCTGCTGCGTCTGGTAACTCTGACAGCGGATATCTATATTACCGACGCAAGCTGATTGTGCCTTGTCCACGTGTGCTCTCATGGCTCCAGACAGCTTCCATTTCTGTTGGGGGGTCACTCGTGTAGTTTGCCCGGCTGACCTTGTCGCCCGTCCCACGCATGCGCCACGTGACTTGCCACTGATCCGAACAAAACTAAATGTTCACGATTCATCTGCTCCATTCATCACAGTGTTGATCATTAGCTGGTGCTCATCACGGTGATTTTATTTGTTTCACCCCTCCATCCCTCCCTCTCAGACAGACGCAGTGTTGTTCGGATTCTGTAACCTTTTGTATCAAAGTTTATTTATTTAGTTTCACACACATCGAATATGACCTCGTACCCAAATAACGCTTATAGAATTTATGCAAATTGGCCGATCATACAAAAATGGTACAAAAATTGTTCAATCTTATTTAAGGTTTTAACTTTAATGACAATAGTTTATTCACACATTGTTAAATGACACAAGAAAGTTGCTATGTTTGTCTGCCTTTTTCTATTTTTACCGTTGATTAACGTTATAAACAGTAAAATTTTCGGTGCTGTTTATTGTAGTACATGCAGGCAGCCAACTTTTGATTGACTATGGTAACAACGAAGGATGAAAAAATAGCTTTTTTCACGCACGCGTTTGTAAATTGCGTGCACCATCCCTGGGGTGAGGCGGGACGGTAGAAATCGTAGACGGGAAGTGGAAAAGGCAGACGAAGACAAGGAAGAAAAGGAAGGGGCGAGAGAGGAAGAAATGGAGTCACGTGACAAGAAGATGATAAAGAAACGTTAGTGTGCCAGTTACTGATACTTGGCACATCGAAGGCTGCTTTAAGATTCAACTCTTTGCTGCTTTATTAATCGTGACGCAACAATTTATAAAAGTGGTCTGTCCTGAACGAGATTTGAACCTGCAATCTAGAAAACTGTGATGACATTGCGAAAATGCCAGCGAACTGTTTTGGCCTTGACTATCAAGGCTGGCTGGGCTAGATTAATAGTGACACCACACACGGAGTTGTTGAGGGAATACAAGTACCGCCAACTGTCTAGCTGCTCGTATGTAGAGCCGCCCCCTGTGGTCCAGAAAATGGATACTTTGTTACTCGGTTGTTTTACAACACTGCATCAACTGCTGACTTTATGCAACGATGTCACCAGTCTTGTGAATGATTAATTGTTATGATTGAGAAATATCCCGTACTAATTTTACATGTTTGTGCAAAACTGAAAACAAGTCGTTTTAGCAAAAGCTGTTCATTTCTTCACAGATGGCTCGTTGTTCCATAGCCTTTACATCACGTTTAGTACGAAGCGATTTTTTCAGCTGTGCTAAAATAAATGTCATACAGTGGTACCATACCTAGAATTTCGGAACGGTGAAAGTTAAGAAGCAATTGTATGCGAACCACTGCTTAGTTGCCCAACGCTGTAGAGCAAAGTCGTCCTTGACAAGGTATACGCTCTGCTAGCTAGTCAAGAAATTTACGTCCTTTTATGGAACCGAAGGTTCTGTACCGTGTTTTTTTAGAATCTGTCACCACCCTTTCCAGAACCATATGAATCCAGTCCACACCCTCCAACAGTCCCTCAGATACATTTTAATGTTATCCTCCCATCTACACTTGCGTCTTCCGAGTGGTATACGATTCCATTCGTATTCAAAATTACGCTGTTGGTTTCTGAGTAGAATTTTCTTGTTGGTAGTTTAACGCAGTGTTTTTCAAACATATTTGTCCATTACATTAGTGTCATCGCATGTTTGACATGCTTTAGCTGTTCTGTTTTTTATCCGCATGGACCCACAAGGCAATAAATCCACATAAGTCATGACTGGTATTTAGTGTTCGTGTTAATAGCATGAATAATGTTTAAGTACACCATTGTTAAATTACGTTTGTTAATAATAATTATGTAAATTATTGGGGCAGGATAAAGGTCTAATTCTGTTTCCAACATTTCATGCACCTGTCACATCGAACAGTTAACACAGATGTTTGAGGTTAGAGGTAATCAGAATGTGGTAAAGTACAGTCCACATTACACATTTAATGCGTTACTGATAATGTATAAATATCATGTAAATAAAATGAAAGTAAATTTTTCCATGTTTGAGTACTGTGCTACAAAATATTTTACCTGTTTATGGCTTTTAGCCAACCTCTATAGTGACTGAGTTAAAAGAAAGAAAGTAGGCTTATGAGATTAGCTTACCGTCTCTGCGTGTCGTGTCGTGTCGTGTCGTGTCACCATATTTGGTTTTATGAACCAGCTGGCCGATTTTAATGAAATTTAGTACAAACGTTATACCGTTAGACGCCATTCCAACCTTGTACATATTTATTTCCTTGTGAGTAATTACAATGTGGTGGATGCACGAACTGTGAGGTGGGAGCAAAGTTAATGCCAGACCTTAAATAGTTTGTTCTATACATATTCGTGAAATTCGTAACATTCGTAACCTTTATTAAGTTATTTTTAGAATGTTAAACAGCAACAGGACAACCGTTCAATTTTCATTTAGAGTTCAGCCTGGCAGCGACAAGTAACGTCGAATGGTTCGCTCGAGTGGTTATATCTCCTACATATTTGGGAGGTCTTGGATTAAAATCACAGCCCAGAGACCAGCGTTCCTGGATAAAGGTTTTCGTGGTTGTCATGTCAGTTCAGGCCCTTAAATTAGATCATGACCGCATTCTTCTGGAGCTCACCAAATCATTATTTATCCAATACAAAATGGGCTGAGCTTCTGACAACACCTGAACCATTGGAGTCAGGAACATGAAATTCTGTACGAAATCTCAGTATTCCTACAATTGATGTATTAAATTCTTTACATGTCAGCGATTACAAACATGAAAACGGCAAAATTTTGAGGTTATAGTCAATAAATTTAAGTGCTTTTCTAGAATCATGAGATTAAAGAGAACAGTTATCTCTTAAGACATGTTATAGCAAAGTATGAACTACTTTTCACGAGCATAAATTATGAAAGGATCAGGTTTAGAAAATTTTAATAATACCATATTGGTGATTAATATTAATTTACTATTTTGACGGATTCACATTCAGGTGTTGTGGAAATAAAGCTCCACACATTCTGGACTTATACACTTTCTGAAGGTTGTGGTCAGGTTCACATTCTGTCCACTTAGCCCCAGAGGAAAACATTTTTTTAGTACTGAACAAGAGGAGGGTAGGCCTCAGAGCCAATCTGGACATTACAGTAGAATGGAAAATCTCTGTTCATGGAGTAAAATTTAATCAGTCTTTAGCTATATATTAAATCTTGTCCGTCTAATCACAATAGATTCTTATTAAATATTATTGTAATTAGACGGACAAGATTTAATATATACTTATTATATCACAATATGACGCAACTTTACCATCTTCAGTCTTTAGCTGTTCACAGTACTGCCTAAGATGACCTTTTCCCATATGAAAAATTAAATATGTACTTGATGGATGTTAAGAAGATCCTACAAGAATAAATCACTTAGTAAACTAGTTCATTCTCATGGCAGTGGAGATGAGGTTATGTGCTTTCCAAATCTCAGCACTAGATGGTCAGTGGTTAACTTAGTGCTCTGGTTACTTTCTTCCCAGAGATGGCGACCCTATTACACATTTGGGGGGGCTTAATCAAGGCCCCTTGAATGTGTCCTAGAGTTAGTATGTATGCGGTGGCTAAAAGAAGAAACCACGCCCCTGTCAGTAAATCCTGTAGCTAGCCAGTCACCTACTGATGGAGCTGTCGTAATTGTAAGAAAAATAAAATGTCAACAATGTGAATGTAATAGTGAATCTTCTCAGTTTTATCAGAGTATGTCTAGCTGCCGCCGTTCATTTGGATATCTTAACTTCGTCTGTCTAATTGGCTCTGTACAAATCATTGCAGATTTTCCAAAGGCTGTGAAGCGGCTCCTGAAGAACGACATCCTCATGTTTCGAACGGCAAGCAGCGTCCTTCACATCCTTCCAATAGCAGGCCTATACACATTTCTACCCAAATACCTCGAATCACAATTCAGGCTTGCGGCTCATGCGGCTAACATGATATCAGGTAATGTAATGTGGGTCAACATTCTGTAACCCTTGAAACTCTATGCACATGTGGAATTCAACATTTTTTAACAAGAACAGGAAGGTGAAAGATAGTTGCTATTATTAACATACATGAAGATTCATTTCAGAGTTTGTAAGAGCTTGACACTCTATCATAACCTGGTAAAGAAATATAAATGTATTATAATTCAGAGATATTGAGTGTTAAAGCGGGTGGTACAAATAGGTACTCCAGTGGTTTAAAGGGCTGATGTAACCAGATATGGAGAGTCACTGGCTACAACAATGACACTCATTTTCTTCTTCTATGGCTCTCCAGTCCGTATTCGGTCCACGGCCTCCTCAATTCTCCTCTTCCATTCAGTCCTCTGTTAGGTCCGTCTGTCCGAGGCTTTGATCGAGGTTTTGAAACATCATCCTTTTTACAGTGCAAGGTTGTTAGCCTTGCGACCAACCCCCAACCTGGAGGACCAGGGTACCTGTCTTAGTCTGACCTCTCCCCCTCGACCAATCTGGCTAGGGAGGCCCTACTAGTAGCTCTTGGGGTCACTGAGGTACTCAAGCCCCACCACCACGACAAGGTGCAGGTACCATTAAGTGGGGGACACTCATTTTATTTTTATTTTTAACAGGTGTGGGTGGAATTCTTGTCATGGGTCTTGGTATCATCATTAGTGGGGTCTTCATTCTACGTGTGAAGCCTAATGCAAGGTTTGTTGCTGCGTGGATTGCCTTCACAGCTGTCGTGTATGCTATTGGTAAGTGAAAATAATAGAAGTATTTGTGAATTGTTCTGCTTGTTGTATATTTCATTATTCAAATATTATTAATGGGATTGAATGCGATGCTTTTGGTGAAATATTTAGCTCGAGTCCCTTGCGCTCTTCCCCGTCACTCCAGTCGCATTATATAAAATCTTGAATATCTTTGGTTTATCTTATCATATGACATGGATCACTTTTTGTAGCAAAACAAAAATGTCAGTAACTTGATCTGCTTTGATCACTGAAATCCACTTTAATAAAACATTTAATTTTAGACTTCACAGATATTGTAGTGCACTATAAATTTAATAGTTTATTTTATTTTATGTGGTCCTGGAAGTCATCTGTTTTTGTAATTTTTGAAGAAAGACTTAAACTTAGAACTTCCATATAAAAACTTTCAAGTAATTGGGAGTCCATACAGGCATCATATAAATGAGCCAAAACCGTGGTGGTATAACCGTTCCATGTACCAGTATCAATGGTTAGGTGTGGTTAAAATTTAGTTATTAGGTTTACATTTTTGTATGTTGTGTTGATAATTATGAATAACCAGTGCAAATGAGACAACTAAGTGCGTTGACTAACCAATCCTGATTGCCCTATCATCATCTTATTCTTGTTAAACTTTTCCTACACAAAAGCTTTGTTTTCTGGCCAGGATAGCTCGGTCAGTCACTCACGTGACAGGCTACAGGCAGAACGACCAGTGTTCAATTCCTGGCAAGAGCAGAGATATATCTCTTCTCCGCTGCATCAGTGCGGCCTACCCAACTTCCTATCCAGTGTTTAATTGGGGCCCTTTCCTCAAGGTTAAAGTCTGCTGGAGCATGGAGCTGTCTACTCACATCCATTCAGTGGTTCAGTTAAGAATGCTAGGAGAATTTTCTGCACTCCCCTACATTTTACATTTTTGATGGTAAGTTTCAGAGACATGCTTAAAGTTTGGTTTTATTTTTCCTACAGGAATGGGAATCTTAATGTTGATTGGATGTCCAATGAAGGATTTTGCTGGACTGCATACAACTCCTTCAGGGTAAGAATTGCTACCATAAAGTCTATCTGAAATGTTATTAGCTTAATTTTTAATGCTATATAATTGAGGTTTTCCATTTAGATGCGTAGTAACTCTGCTTCCACACTGTTGAGTATAACTAGCTTTTGGTTTCAAAGTCAACCTGTTGGTACGATACTCAGAGGTTTTAAAATTATTCACGTGAGCTCATCGTTAGACCCTGCCCTGACTCGAATTAGTCCAGTTATCGTAAGATTTATTTTTAAGATTATCAAATAATAATTTGTGCATCTTTTGTCTTCCTGTGCATACTGTACATTCCACCTGTCTTATCTTTATTGAGTTATTCACCTAAATAATAGATGGAGAATATTGTGTATTAAAATGCTCCTCATTCTGTAATTTAATCCATTTACATTTTGATTCACATCTCTTAGGTGCAAATGATATTCTCATTGACAATGTTGTTCATCCGGATTGTGACGCCATGTGAAATTGTAGGTAGATACTATTATTTCAGAGTAAACATTCTGTCTCTGTCTTCAGTGCTGATATTTTCTCCTCCTCTCAAGCACTGTACATATATACAAGAAAATGGAGCATAACCGTTTTCACGTCGTTGATTGTATTCTGCTTTCAGACTGACAACTTTCGAGCTTGATTGCAACGCAACTTGCAATTGTGACAGGAATAAGTTCAGTCCGATATGCGGTCGAGACAAAAGCACGTACTTCTCTGCATGTCATGCTGGATGTCAAAACATCACCTTAGTAGATGGAAAAATAGTTTCGGTGAGTTTGTATTCTTTCTTTTCATAGATTAGTTGACTTTTGTTACACACTAGCTTTTGTTTTATTTTTTATTGTTGTGATTGGGTGAGACTGTGTCTCTGTGGAACTGCGGCCATTAATGGACCCTTCGTGCATCCCCAGTATGATACACGAGTGATTATGGAGCAGTGGTGGAATGATTTTGAAGGACTTTGAAATAGACCTCGCCACTTTGTCAACCACAAATGAACTGCCTTGGGAGTAAAGCCAGGCCTTTTGGTGGGAAGCCAGCGAGTAACCACCTGTGTTATGGCATGATGAGCTCTCGGGTTTATAAGAGCGATGCTCATCCCGAGTTATTCATATAATAAAAATGAATTTACCAATAATTAACTGATTGAACTGTTGCCACACCTGTGTTTTGTAACTGAATTTTGCCAGAAGATACTATTCTTCACGTTGAGTCACATATTTCAGGGTGTCTGAACTCGTAGTTATTTATTTCTGTGTCAGGCCATAGACACTGCAGGAATGAAAGTTCTACATTCTCTTGAGTCGGCAATGCAAAAGTGTCGAAACGTTGCTCCATCCATACATACCCTTGGTCTCTCATTTTTGTTGGATTAATACTCCTGGAATATTCTTGGGATATGGGAACTTTTCATTGTTCTTAAATATCTCAATACTTTTGTATTAATATCGACTTTTTTCATTTCGTTTCACATAAATGGACTGTGTTTATTATCTTATAATCAAGATTCAGCCTCTGATTTCAGATGACACTTTTTTTGCTTCTGTTTTGCTTTTTTTATTTAGTCTTTTTTTGTCACTGATTAAAAATAATATACCTTATGTTGCCGTAACCTTTGACTTTAAACAGCCTTTCCTCCCATACTTTCATAAGGTACAATATATATTTTTGAAGTTATGTAACTTCATATTCAAATTATTGTCCTTAGTACAGTCTGAAATATAATATAATGAATTTAAATTTATTGTCTTTTTATTGTTTATAAGTTTTAGCTTTAACAAGGCATTTTCATCTGAAAGCTGATATAAATTTCTATCACTATAAATAGATGGAATTTTTTAATTATAAATTTACATTTTTAGCGTGAAATCTTATCTTCGTTCTGTTGTGTCCAGTATTCAGAATGCGTATGCATGCAAAGCAGCAGTGCCAACATGTCACAGATTGGAAAAGAACCCTCTGGAAATGCTACAATTGGATACTGTGACCTGGAATGTGATAACTTTATCTGGTACATCATCCTCTTCTCCATATTTGTCTTCATCCACTCAACATCAGAGGTTGGAAGTATGCTGCTGATTTTACGATGTGTTGACCCCAGGGACAAGGCTATGGCCCTTGGCCTCATACAGTTTGCTATTGGGTTATTTGGTAAGTACTTAACATCAGAGTTGTTTGGTACTTTCAGAACAGGATTGGAATGAAGAACTGAAACATGCATTTTCCAGTTATGTTCTTTCAATATCTCATACCTCATTAGCCTTGATGTATATTTTTTGCTGATATGGCTCTGTTTACCATATTCCAAGTCTTCTTCTGCCATTATTGGACCAGAGGAGAACTGAATTGTCCAGAACACAATATATGCAGAACCTGGAGATCTGATGTATCACATGAATGTAGTTTAGTTTTGGGTGAATAGGTATTATGACAGCTAATGTACACGTGCTCTGATGATAAAAAAGTAGTCTTTATTTACTTAAACTACATATAATTTCTATGAACTGTGGTCTGTAGGATAAAAGTGTGCAGACAGTTGTTTTATTGTATTTATGAAATTATTCAATTAAATATCCTTTCGCCAGGGTGGGTATGCTTTTCTGTATCTTCTCTCATACTTTTTATTCTCGCCCATGGTTGTTTATTAATGTTTTTTGCTTTTGTTGTTGTTCCTCCGCTCTACAACGTGGTTGTGGGTTTTCGCCGCCTACGTTTTGGAGGTTTCTTGGTCTTTTTTTGTTTTGTAGGTATCTTATTGTCAACAGAGAGTAACTTTTTGCACCACAATATCCTTAATTTTACTATTTTCTTTTGGAGTGTTTATACTGTCAGGTGTAGCATCTGATCTCACACTTTACCCCCTTCTTGTTTGTTTGAATACACTATTGAAATGTTATCTGTACTTACATCTCTCTTAGTCCATATCTAAATTTCGTTCAAAACAGAAATGTGCTTGTCGTTTTTGTGTCAGTGCCACTGCTTCAGCTGTGTAACATTTAATTACATTTTAAATTTAAAGCACTGTTTAACCCCCATTTTTCCCTCAGGTAATGTCCCATGTCCAATTGTGTATGGTGCAGTAGTAGATTCTGCATGTCTGGTATGGGAGATGGCATCTGGAGAAAGAGGCGCTTGCAGGCTCTATGATGCTGATGTCTTCCGAAGATTTTATCACGGTGAGTTATTAACAAAATTTAGGAAATTTGTCATGCTGTAGAGACCATTCTGCATGCCATGAAGTAGAGTTCCTTTTAATATGATTATAAGCATAATAAAAATAATTTTGTTCTTTGGCGTATATTCCACTGAGATGTCGGTAGCTCTGTAGAAAGTAGACATATTAAGAATCATGGCAGACAGAACGTTATCTAAATGATAATAAGTAGTAACTGAGGAAACAAGAATTTTAATGTGAGATTTGAGGTTTTTATGGCAGTGAGGATGATGATATTCTTCTCGGTTTTGGCTCTGTGTGGACTGGTCAGACTTTTAAAGAGAAAAAACTTGCTTCAAGTTACTGGTCATTAAGGATTCTGTATGAGAGGATAGTTCTTTATAACCGCTCTGAAATTCTACTAGATGTGGCAATTGGAAGGTAAGTTTACAGGGCATTTACCCTAATGTGATTCAGTGAGTCTTCAGTCACTTTAAGACACAAATATTTGGTGAATGTGCCATAAATAATCAATGAAATTACCAGATATTATTGTGTAAAAGTGAGATGGTCTGGGCATGAGGCATGGGAAGGTGAGAAATGTATATAAAATTTTGGTTTTAAAGCCTGAAGAGAAGATACCACGTGGAAGACATAGGTATAGATGGGAAAATAATATTGAAATGGATCTTTGAGAAACAGGTTGGGACATGGTAACAAATCATCTTCTCCTTCTTCTATGGCTGTCCGGTCCATATTCGGTACATGGCCTCTTCAATTCTCCTCTTCCATTCGGTCTGTCTGTCCGAGGGTGAGGTTTTGAAACATCTTCATTTTTACGGTGCAAGGTTGTTAGCCTTGCGACCAACCCCCAACCTGTCTTAGTCTGACCTCTCCCCCTCGACCAGTCTGGCTAGGGAGGCCCTACCAGTAGCTATGCTACCGCCAGCATAGCTCTTGGGGTCACTGAGGTACTAAGCCCCACCACCACGACAAGGTGCAGGTACCATTAAGCAAGAGTAACAAATCGTCAGGTTTCATAAAAGAAGAGTCTCTTGACTTGCTGAGCATTCTGTTGTCATATTAATAGCATAAGTGATTACTGTTTAGTAATGTGTATTTATTTCAACAGGCACTACCGGAGCTATTCTTCTCTGTGCGTTCTTCATGGACATAATTGTATGGTACAAAGCAGGCAGCATTAATTTTGTGGATGATCAGGTTCCTCCACAAGAGGAGGAACTGAATCCTATTGCTGGTAAAGTTCGATCAGAAACCAGCGTATGACATAGTGACGTGGCTTTGCCATGTGACGTAAACAAATACTGACACATTAGCATTGCGACATGGAACCATTGTTCAGTGCAGTGAATATGAAGACTGATTATAACCCCCTCCAGTTCTCAACAGCGGATCTTACAACAAATTAGGTATGTAATAGGTTCAATAGCAACTGCAACTGCTGTTTTCTCCAGATTCTGTGAGAGAGAAACTGGGAATTTTCTCTACAACATTGAATATGTAACTATTTGAAACTTTATAATTGTATACCTTGTTCTTAAAACGATTTTTATCAACAGTTACAATAGTATAATTAATCTATGTTGCCTTGGAATACACATAAAATTTTAAAGCTCAATATGGGGGTTGGTATGCAATTGTGGGAAGCTTTGGTGTGTTTTTAATGTTCCACTGTGTAGTCTGGAATTGTTTTATAGATTACAGAAAGAATACACTGTTATTTTTTGTTGTGAGAGAAGTCATTGAGGTCATATGGTTACCTGTCAGCTTTTGACCCTTGCAGTGTTTGTAGTCCCATTTGATTATGTTGTGATCTGATATAATTGAAGTATTTCTTAAATTTGATAGTCTCTTTTATTTCATAATAATCTGAAAGTGACTGAACATTGCAATTGAGGAGATATTCCTGTTCATGTTCAGGAGGACCCAGATCCTATTTTCATCCTGGTGGGGGATTTTCATGGCTTTTCCCATTCCCTCAAGCAAAAAATGGGGTAATGTTGTTCACGACACTTGGCATCTGCACACCATAGCTCATTATGGCTTGGTTTGTGCATTTGGATGGCAAAACAGGTAGTTGCTGATCACACCATATTTTCTGTAGTGGTGTTTCATCCACTGTTATACATGCACACTTCTCATACTGTGCAGCCATATTAATGAGCAGAGCATGTCATACTAACCTCCCTTCTTCTTGGTCCTCCTCCTGTATGAAGCCAAGGTGAATGCTGTAGACAATATTGTGCCATCTTATTATACAGTAACCTACATGCTTGAAAAACATCACAAAATAGCCTAATAATTAATGTCATTACCATTTTAACCCATATCAGGTATCTGTCATGGCTTGTATGTTCATTTGTTAGTATGGTACTCATAGAAATTTTGTGTCTGCTGCTTTTAATCTGCTTATTTCTCTAATCCAAGTGCCTGGTAATGTAACAAAAAAAGAATGGTTGATGAGTTACTGAAAATAATTTTTATGATATTGGCATGGCAGCAATTTGCTACATGTTTTGGTAATCACAGCAAAATATAACACTGTATTCTTGGGAGTAAATATATTATTTTAGTGTGAATGTGTACAGCTGAGAATGCAGAATTGATTTAGAAACTATGTAAAGACCATGGTGACACTGACACCATGGTTGTGACATGTTAGTCACTTGAAACTGTGGTAGAGTTACCATATATAAACCATAGGTATAATTAGTTATTATGTGGTGCATTTGCTGTTACAGTAACTGTCATTTTGAGGTTACAGTAAGGAATTTATTCATATTAACAAATGGGTAATGGTTACAGGATCTTGTAATATAGAGTGATTATATATTTTGGGTTTGGTAGGGATCCATAATTGTTTGAAACAACTGATATGTCCAGGGTTTGACACTTTTCAGTCATTGAAGAATGTTTTATTGATACAAATATTTTGAACCATTTTTAGCTTACTTTTCATATTTATAGGAAAAGATAAGCTTATAATATTTTCATATCAGTGTGTGCATGTATCTCTTCTCTCTGCCAACAATATTTGAACCAACTGATGGTCTTTTATTAAACTTCGTATGAATAGCTACCAACAGTGATAATTTTTAATTCTCTGTCATCAGTAATATCAACATGACAGCCATGTTTCCTTTTGAGGTGGGAATCACACTAGCTCCACTTCATATATGGTTCCAAAATGTTACATGGTAGTTGATCTTTAAAATATATGTAGCTCATAATTTTTTTCCCCCCGTTGAATATAAAACAAAATACTGACCATGTAAATTCTGTGTGTAGGTTTGGGTGTGCAGTTGGTAATGAGTCATTTTTGCTAGGCCAGTGAAATATATGTATATGGGTCATAAACATACTTAAAAATTTTATATGAAACATTTTTCACGTCAACGTTTGAAAACATGATTTTGTGAAAAATTAAAGTTGTATTTAGCAAATGTAATTTAGAATTTGTTCTTGTAGAAATTAAAAATTATATACAGCAATGGATCATTGAATTGTGTTTTAATTGTCTCAGTTCTTGCTTTAAATATTTGATGGCAAATGGGCATTAAAGTAATTTGCTGAAATTACTGTTTCTGAAATTTGGTATGAGGTGTGTTGTGGAATGGACAATTCCAAATATTTTTGTGCCTTCCCTTTTAACTCTTTGACTTCTTCATTGTTTAAGCACTGAAGAGTTCTATTTTGATTTTTTTAATGCATATATCAACATTGTAGGTATTTTGCATGTCTTTGGTGAAATTCTTTTACTTTCAGTTAAATAATATTATCTGTTATTGTTTTGACATTCTGAAGAACATATACATTTTTAACATGAAGTTCTAGAAATTCTTTCCTTGAGATGCTTCAGTCTCATATTAAGGCTAACAAGCGTAATAAATTAATTACTTTACAAGTGAATTATTTATTTCTGTATGTAATTTGAATGTTATTAATATTGACTCCATTAATTTTGTCAGATATTGTCTGAGTTTTACACTGTTGCAGTGTTTAATTCTTCACATATGAAGAATTCCTAGCTCCAAAAATTTGTTAATTATCATTAAATTGAAAAATAAATTTATGTTTTTAATGTCTGTCATGTTATTTTAGGTAGGTGTTGAAGCTCACATGATGTTGAGTATGAGGATGGCTGTCTTAGAAGACAGCAATCTTCTTGTTTCAGATTCTACAAAAGAGAAAACATGTTTGATTTATCACTGCATTATGTTTCAGGACTTCATTTTTTCTTGTAAAACAGAAATTCAAATTTCCATCATGTTGATGTTATTGATAGGGAAATGAAAGTACAAAGGAAATAGAATGATATCTAGTACAAACTTCATGTAAATATGTCAGTTGGTTTAAAAGTTAAGGGGAACAGAAACATGGACACAAGGACATGATGATAACATGTGCCTATTTTTTGTTATAAAATATGTTGATTTACGCAGGTTTTGTAACATTATGAATTGTTCGTATAATTTTCCATGTTTTAAAATTCAAGTGTTCTACCTCAGAGACTCAAATGTCATGGGTATTGATTTTGAAATTCTGGTTACTGTACAGTAGACTGAAATCTTTACCTATTTGTAGGATGCTCCAATATGATGGTAGTGCTATGATGTATCACAGAGTATTGGATGCATCTTTTTCTGTATAAATTGTACCAGGATTGTATTCTTAGTACTTTTTGTTTAAGCCTTCTAAAGAAGGACTGTGCCCCATGAGTTCATCATCTTGGGGTAAGACACTATACTCTTGTGGTAAAAGTCTTGGGTTTGAGACTTACTGGATGCAGTGTGCATTTTATACACCTCTGACTAGGAATCAAGCTTTGGAGAATGTGATGCCCCCTTTGGCGCATCCGTCATCATCACTTTTATCAAGTATTAGAATGAACATACTGTGCCAAATAAGTGCTTCCACTTCAGAAGTGGAGTCCTTCATTCTTTCCAGTTATGTAGATGCCAGATGTGTTAAAAGACCATAAATGAATGTATTAATGCTTCTTGACTTTGGGGTCTCATTACATGTACCATCTGCTAAATAAAAATTAACTGAAAACATTTAGTGAAAGAAAAATTTGATTTTAAAACATCATAGGGTAAAGGCATAGTTCATCTGTCCCTCAGTACCACTCTGTGTAGGTTTATACAGGGAATAAAGGCGAATATTTGTGCATAATGAAAACTAATTTATTATCCAGCACCATGAATAGGCTAAAACACTAAAATCATGATAGTGTGGTGCACTCTTACTCCTGTTTAGTGTTATAATATGGCAGAATGGCTGTCAGCATTGTGTCATAGTATAAATATTTTATATTATTTTGTTCACCATAGTGACTTACAAAGACTAGAAAAAGATAAACAGAGAGGGAGAAATGCAGAGTGTGGTACTTCTGGTTATAATAAAATATAACAGATGGTATAGGCATTAAAATAAATTCTGTGCTGCATCCAATTATATACCCAGACTAACACAGTGTAGACAGTGCACATAACCCAAGAAGATGCAGACTCATTTGTAAAAACACAGACTATTGTTAAAATGAAGGTAAAATCCTGGTATAATCTCTCACTAGTCTAACAGAAAGGTCACTGAAAGATTATGTAGGTGCCTTGATAAGCTGTCATTGTATACAGAGTTAATATTACATCTTTGTAAATGAAAAATTAATAATATTAAGGACAGTAGTTCATAGAGAATAATACTTGGCATATTTGTTATGTGAGAAGTGGCTTTGAAATTGTTGACATTGTAGCAAGAATGTCACAAAAAATAAATTCAAATGTTTTAAAATTAATTTTCTACTGAAATGAACTGAAAACTCTGAAGTCTGAAGCTGTAAATGGTATGGTATTGTCTGACTGATATTTCTTACAAAAAATATTCATAATTTTAGTTATTGTTAATAAATATGAAAGAGATTTAATTATTAAGTGAGTCAGCTGATAATTTTAGGACAAGCCAAGACAGTTGAAAATACTGTTAGAAAAATTGTATAAAAATGAAGGTTAAGAATTGATATTAAGTAATCCCATGAAATTTAAGTAAACTGCTTCATACTTGAAGTGTGGGGGTTTCTGACAACGGTTGTAATACGCAAAATGTTCTTTTGGACTCTGCCCATTATCTAAATTATAAAACCTTGTTTTGGAACCTGTCTGTTGGTTTTCTGTCCTCTTCCCCCCTTTTTTTATTTTGAGGACAGAAGCAAAACCCAGCTTCTGATAAGCTGTTTTATTGCCTTGTAATTTAGATGATGGACAAAGTCCAAAAGAACAATTTTACATACTTCTCAACCTCTTCTTCTGCATCTAATTTATATATATATATGTTAAGAGATTGCAACATACAGCATATTTGATTTCAGACTTTCAATCCAAGCTGATCTGCTCCTACTGGAAATTTATGGTGATTACATTATGTTGTGTAGAGGTGGTTTACAAACATTTTGAATATATTTACTGTTAAATCCGCAAGGTTATGTGGCAGACCTTGTCCACATACTTACAATACTTGACAGTAGTTCAGTATGTACACTCAGGTCTGCTAATCAGAACTTGAACATATCTATTTCTCCACTGAATGACACCAGACATATGCTGTTCATTTTACACGGAAGATAAAAAATGATAAGGTCTCTGAAAGACTGGCAAACCAGCTGGCACAACATGGTGCTGTCACCCAGAATTTCCAGACAGCCTCAGTGAACTGGTATAAAACACGAGGACTTAATCAAGTCTTTAGTTTGTCATGAAACAATGAAGTGTCTGTTGCATTGGTCCAACATGCATGTAGCTTGTGAACGTTACACACTATTCTTCTTCTCTGTAGCCAGCAGTAGATGTACTGTCCACAGATCACGAGAAAAACCCTGCTGATTGAAGTTGTTTCTGGTGCGGTGCAGGGGGAATGTTTACTATCAAATGGACTACAGGGCTGCTATTGGTAGGAAGTGTGATACATCAGAGTTTTACACTACTACACTCAGACTGAAAACATCAAGCAGTTGAGATTAGCGTGTATTGAATGCCTTTTAATGTGTTCTGTGGGTGTTGTGATAATATTCTAGATTAAATCACTGTGTCACTGTAAGGTAATCTTAAAGCTGTACCCATTAGAACACATGAAAGCCTGTTGTCTGTTGTTCGTTCAGTGGTTGTGGAACGAATGCTTTTAGGATGGGTCGTCACTCACCGCAAAATCTTGCGCATGCGCGTGTATCGAAGTCCTAGCAGGGATTTTCTCCTGGTCTGTGGACTGTACTTATATACAGGAAACATTAACACTGTAAATGGAATTTTAATTTGAAAATAATATAAATAAAATTTATTACTAATTTTGTACTGGTAGCACCTGAAAATATTTACAAAAATTGTTCTGCTGCTTCTATAGGGAAATTTACTGGATCAGATTACACTTATTGAATTCTATGGCAGTACTTCTTACTGAAAATAGTATGCATTTTCCTTTCCTATCAACCATTGAAGACAGTGATTAGCTTTTATCATTCCAAGAATCTGTGTTGTGGTTTTGCCATGGTGTACTGTAGCAGTGTTTTTCAACCTTTCCAAGTGTTGGCACTCTAAAACAAATTTCATTACCTCACATAATGCCCAAGTATGTATTAGTTTAAAACTGTGTATATGGATGCATATGTTTTGAGGATGAACTATGTTCATATTATTATTCATGCTTTAATAGAATTTAATTTGTATGATTTTTTCTTATATGCATGAAACCCTATATGAAAATGTGAATGAATAACATTTTAGGATGAGTAGTAAATGATGAGAGTGGCAGACAAAATATTAGGATTAAAAACTGATATTATAGAAAATCATTGTGTTACAGATATAAAGTAATGCAGTATGGAAAATGTGGAGACAGTATACAATTTTAAGAGCAGCACAGACCAATAAATGACAAAGCACAGATGAACAAGATCTCGTTATTACCATAGTCTATGAACTGTTGTAAAATGTGGAAATCTGTATGGATTCAAAGTGTCTCTGCACACCCATTGAGAAATACTTCATGCTTGTCACGATATTTCTGAGGCTAGCCATCCAGGGTATTTGGGGGGAAGTTCTAGCATATAAGGCACCTTGCTGCCCCCTTATCCTTTCCATCTTCCCTTCCCCACTTACTGAGACATAGCCCAGACTTACAGATATTTTGCACCTGATATATTGTTTGAATCCAGGTTTGTCTGCTGAGACATTTTTACATGGATGTATCTGCTAAATAATTTCAGAGTAGATGGAAAATGTAAAGTTTGTTAAGATCAGAATATGGTCTTTAAAATCTGCTGTGCAGCAAGCAAGACATCTATTTTTAGAAATGTTACTTCTGCTCTAACAACTTCTTTGTTTTTGTTATTGTATCCTGCAATATCCTCAGTATAAGAAGTTATTGATCACACAAAAGAAAATATGAGTTATTTTAAAAATTAAACTCAAACTACAAAGTAAAAATGTGGTTCTTAAAGTTTGTTATGAAGGCAACACTTGAAAAATGTTGCATTTGTTATATGCTAATAAGTTTATTACACACAATCATAATGGAGAACTTTGTTAATATCATATATACAAATGTGTTGTCATATTTGAGTACTTATTTAGTGGCATGAATTCTTCATACCATACTCCATTTGTATTTGTGAAGTTCTGGTTTTGAATATCTGCTCAGAGACTAGTTAGTCATCTTCATTTGATTAGTTTAAACCTAACCTTAACCTTTTCTGGCTCCAAATGCTTATTTTTTTTTACATGTCTTTCTGGGTCTTCTTAAATCACTTCTCTCTTTTGGTGTGTTCTTTAATATTCTTTTCATATCTTTCGTCTTGCATCTTTTAAATATTGTCAGTCCATTTGCGAGTTACATTTTTTATTCTCTGATTCATTTCAAGTATATTTTTTACACCTTTTAAACATTTTTCATTGATTTCTTTCAGTTTATTTAACAGTGCTCAGGAGATATAGCATTGAATTATAGGATGATTAATGAAGAATTGACAAGGATGTGGAAGGAAGCGGTTGTGGCCTGTTTATGTTATTGTACTAGAATTTATATGCAGGAACTGAGGAATTTTACAAAAACTCTAACATAAGATAGCTAATCTCTGGGCTACAATTTGAACCTTTAATCTTCCAAATGCAAGGGAGGAGTTCTAATCAGTGGGCCATTACTGTCACTCATGTCTTCATTTTGTTTGTCTTTTAACTGCACCCCATCAGGAACAGATGCAAATAAAATTATTACAATTTCAGAAAGTTTCAGTACCATATCACTTACTGTCAGTCATTAAAATTGTAGTTTATAGTACATGACGTTAGTTCAATATTTTCCTAATGAGTAGCAATGTTAAATATCTGTGGTTCTTATACAGTTTAAAATTATTTTATGAAATGCATGTACATATGCAACAAATAGTCGCAGATCGCTAAATTAGCATAGCTATGGATGACCATTAGTCTTGATAGGTATTTGATTACAGAATTTATTGAGGGGGATCATTAAATAGTTTTATATATTAGTGTAAGTCAGAAAAACACTAACCTTAATCTTTATCACATGGGAATATGGAATTTGAACCCCTGTACTGCAGTGCTGCAGCCAGACTTTAACCATGGGGTTAATGGTTTAGTGGTATGCTACTGTGATGCACATAAACCACAAAGCTCAGTTGATAGAGGTTAATGTAATTTAAGTGACTGAAGTTACTCAGGCATTTTCTTTTTGTGTATATGACTGCAGGTAGAATATAATTAAGGGCATCGTGAGTTGATTAACAAAGCATCTGATGCTTTTCAATGTTGGTTGAACAACATAAAGTTGGCATAAGAGAGTGGTTGACGGCAATTGCAAATATGAAGTTAGGGAATTTCAGGATGCACCTTATCTATACTGTGAGGCCTGTACAATATTCTAACAGTCTTGTAGATATGTTATTTTGACTTTTATAAATTTAAATGATTCATAAACTACTTAGTGTCATATTCTCCACTTGAAATGTACATTTTCAGCAAGAGAAGTAAATTGATGTGCATTTCCTTGCTTGATGGTTGTTTCTTTAGTTTGAACAGTTTTACTTTGTTTTATTTTAACATACCTGAAGTTGGACTAAATTTTAGTTATGTGTACATTAGCAGTGCCCATTTTTCTATTATTTTTTTTGAGAGAAGTAGAGTAGTATATGTATTTGACAGGAACATTTACTATGTAGTCCTAGAGTTGTCTTTTAAGAGGAATTTTTTGTATTTATCATCTTTTTTATGATGTGCCATCGTACAAGTTTTTAGACACCCCAATGCCTGTTTCTTTTCTTTTTCTTCTTTTTTTTTTAAATAATAAATTGGTAGTTTTTCTGGAGTCATCTCTCCAAAGGAACATTTTTTCTATTACTGTTTTCTTCTGCACATCATTTTGGAGAAATGCACCATTGTAGAAGTTCTTGGACACCCTAGTGCCTAGTAGACAAAAGTATATAATATTCCGTGGGGTTGTTTCTCTTTTTTTTCTGTTATCAACAGTTCAGACAAGGACAGTAAATGCAAATAAAAGAAAAGTGTTGTGTGTCCCAATTGAATATTGTTGAGACTTGCTATATTACAATATTTGGCTTAATAACCACATTAATGTAACAATGTTATGACCTTTGAAATATATACACTGAATGTTATTTTCTTCTTTTTATAGCATTTTTAAAATTCTTTTGTGTATATAAAATAGCTTTTTTCATAAAGCAGAATTTTAAATTTAGTGTATATAAATATATTGCAGCATATAGTACAGATTAGGATAAA